AGGATGGATGTTCACAGGGCCTTTCTTTCCTGAGTCAATTGCTTTGAATCAGTTACAGTGATGACACCTGGAACTCTGGGCAATAGTCATAAAGAGAGTGGGCAGCAGCGAGGAGAATATTAGTTGCCGCCATCTCAATAAACCACCTATCCTGAAAGTGCACACATGCTGCCTTTTGTCCAGTGGTGATCTAGAGGAGTTTGGAAAGCTAGTATTTCAATATTCACAAAAACAATAAGAAAAAATCTGGTTCATGTGTGTATGTGTGTGTATGTGTGTGTGTGTGTGCTGTTGATGATGACTTAGTTCACAATAAAAAGAGATTTAACACAGAACAAAAGAAATCAGGTTTTCATTCACATGTTAGGCTGGAAAGTCAGTCCCTGGTTTCTAACTCTGCTGGTATCAGCTGAGAACACTCCTCTTGCCTCAGGGGCATTCCTTAGCCTTAGCATTTGCTCGATTGTTAACTGATTTATTTATGTACAGTGTGATGTAGCTGAGATGTTTAGAATTTGGAGTCCAGAGGCCTGAGTTACAATCTTGCCTTGAACACTAGCTGTGTGTTCACAGACAAGTCTGTACCTCTCTCAACTTGTTTCCCTTCAGTACAATGTGGATAATAAGACCTATACTACTACCTACCTAACACTGTGGTTGTGAGGAAAATGCTTTAGATACATTAAAGAACTAGAGAAAGGTAAGTTTTTATAATTGGTACCACCTATTTCTCCTCTCCCCCCTTCATTTATTTATTTTGCCAGTTAAGGGAAATACTTATGCGGATATAGGTCAGCAACTTCTTTGCAACTGACAATCTTAAAGATTTGCCAGGGGCACTAAGAGTGATGTGTCAATGGTTACACATTTAGTATGTGGCAGAGACAAGACTTCAACCCAGATATTCTTCACTCCAAGGTCAGTCTTTTAACCTCTATGCTAGAGAAGTCAAACACTCAAATGAGTCAGAGCACCATTCCTGAGTGCAACTCAGACCAGATTAAAATGTCATTTGGAAATATTTAATAAAATAAATAAAAATACAATAGAACCTATATCACATTAATGTCATTTTCTAAGTCACCACATGGCTGCAGGGATCCTTATGTATGAATTAGTGGCCCTGTTTCTATTTGAGTTTTACACCACTGGTCTATACCATGTTGTCTTCCATTATATCTTACACACATACACACACGCACACACACACACACAGAATCTTTTCTATCTGTATCTGATGAGGATGGGATCTAGACCCCAAAAGGAAAAAACCCTGAAAAAACCCTGGATTTTCCCACTTGGCCAAATCTCTGGCATTTGCCTGAGGCTATAATCCCATCAATTGGCCTTTCATTGTGGCTACACTCAATCTCCTGATTCTGTTACCCTTAACCTAGCCTAGTCCTCCATTGTCCTACCTCCCTATGGTCTCAGGCCACTTCCCACCCTTTATCCTATCTAGACTCCATACTCCCTTGGCCACAATGATCCAGGTCCCTGGAGTTCTATTACCTCGTAGATTACTTGACCACTCCTAGATCCCTCCCATAGTCTTTCTGTGTTGTCTCCATTAAGATGCTCAGATTCTTAAAATCTAGCCACAGTTTAGATTCTTATAATCTAGCCATTGCTTAGATTCTTAAAATCTAGCCACTGCTCAGATTCTTAGAATCTAGCCAATAGTTCACTAACATTCAGACTCCTTAAGAGTCTGCCCAATATGACGGATGTTCTAATAAACCTTGTCTTTGGTTGAAAGAAGGCTTGGGTCGAATTCTTTCCGGCAGGATCCACATGCTGTGATGTTGGGGTCCCAGCACCCCTAAATCCCTGAACCTCATATCTATCCACATCATCTCTATGTCTCTACATCTAGACCTATGTCTATATCTATATCATCTATCTATTTCTGTGTGTCTGTGTAATGTATTCTAATAAGGAAATATGATTATTAATAATTTTCACTGATTGGCAGGGTATTAAAGCAGAACCTATAAAATGATGTGACTAAACTAGATAACCTTTAACTTTCCTTCTAGCTCTAAAGCCTATGATTACAAGAAGATAGATTCCCACCACACATTAATGATGAGAGAACTTATTGTTAATAACCAATAATTTGAGGAGATTCCAAGCTCTCCTCTTCTTCCAAAGTCCTGATTTTAAAAGTTCATTCTCTCGAAGCACATTACTGATAAGGAGATTGGACTAACTTTCTTGTTCAGGACCCCACCCTGTGGAAGCTATTGTGTTCTTCTCAGGCTTAGGTGGGGTATATATTCTTTGAATAGATAGCCCAAAGCTGAGGGTAGTCTGGTAAAGAGATAGTTTCTCTGTCCAAGTGACATGATGTCATTCTGAGCCCTTCATTTTAATGTAGCTCACCTTCTATTGTGTTATCCAATCAGAGTTGATTGTCAACCCTCAGGAACATCCACTCTTTGAAAGGTATATGAACTGTGAGCCCCTGCCATGATTATCTTTGGTGTAAGAGAGAGGCCAAATGACCGTCTTTTTATTATTAATGTGCTGGCCTCATTAAGAAAATGATTATATTACCCAGAAACTATGTCTCTCAAAACTTTTTAATCGTCACAATGGAGTGGTGGGAAAGTATGACAAAACACTGTCAAGAACCAATTTGCACCTCTTTTCTGAATCTCCAAAACCCATAATCAGCCCTAACCAATGTTAAGGATCACAGATTATGAGCTGGCAGGAACTTCAGAGAGCATGTATTCCAATCCCTTTAGCTATATGATGTAAGCTGAACACAGCCTGCTTGGACCTTGTAGTTATCAGCATACTTTGTACCCAGAGGCTTTTTTTTTTTTTTTCGGTGAGGCAATTGGAGTTAAATGACTTGCCCAGGGTCACACTATCAGCATACTTTGAAAAAAGAGAGCTGCCTAATTGGTCTGAGTTGAACTTAACAGAAGAAACTGTAATTTCTTAATGGTCCATTAAATCCTCTCTATGAGTCAAGAAGACTTTGGGACCTCCACTGTGATGACTTAGAAGATCACTGGGTCTAGTTCCTACTATTCTAGCCAGTCATAGATTTAGCAGTCCAGGCTCCAGATGGAAAGATCTTCCTATTTCTTATCTATATTACTCAGTCTTCTGTATATGAATTATCTGCTTTGAGTCATTATTTTAACTGTATCATATTCATATAAGGTTTTTAGGTTTGCAAAGTGCTTTGTATACATTCTTTCATTCCATCCTCCTAGTTTATGAGGTAGATGCTGTCATTATCCCTTATTTTACAGAGGAAGAAACTGAGGCTCAGAGAGCTGAAGTTAGTTGCTCATGATCACACAGTTGGTAAGAGTGTGAGTGGGATTTGGAATCCAGGTCTTCCTGACTCCAGGTCCAATTTTGTATTCACTATTCCATGCTACCTCTCATATGTGCATGTGTCTTGATTTTCAAAAAGGGCTAGAAACACCGAAAGAAGGGTCCATGTCTTATGGTGGAGTGAAGGAAAGCGAATTGGATTTAGATTTAGAAGACTCCTGTTTGGATCCCTGCTCTGCTGCTGTGCTATTTTAGTATCTAGGGACCTTAATTGCCTTATCTGTAAATAAGTGGACCAGAAAGATAGCTGGTTGGATACCTTTCCCTTTACGGCTTTAGCCTCCTTTTACATGCTATGTTCTCTATTAGAATTCAAGCTCCTTAAGGGCAGGACAGGATTGTCTTTTTACCTGAATTTGTAATCCTATCACTTAGCACAGTGCCTGGTACTAAATAAATGCTTGTTGATTGGCTGATTGATTTCATAGATCTGGATGTCGTTCCCCCACCCCCCCAAATGTAGCTTTCAGCCCATCTACGAGTACCTATTCTCTAAGAATCTTGTCTGTATCCTCTCTTAAATCTGAGACAGGATACCTGCCTCATTTCTCTTAACATCACAAGGATATTGGATGAGTATTTAGGTTCTTCACTTATAATCCTTCACCCTCTCTATGTGACCAAGCCATCTTCTCTTTCATATTTCTCTGATGATCTTTTACTTGTTTTTCTTTAAAGTTCTTCATTGTTTATGTATTTTCACTTGCTCATCTCCATCACCCATCTCCCCATTGCCCTCTGTGTGATATTCATTGGCAATTCTTTAGAGACTATTTTGTTCCAGGAAGGTATCAGAACCATATAACACCGGTAGACTATTAGTATTAGAAGCATAGGCTTTTGTTTCCCAGGAAAAACTTGGAGTCATTAAAGGAGCTTTTCAATTTCCTGAAAGAATCCAGCCTGCTCCACTCCTTCTATATAATTCTGGGGCCAGCTTCTTGTCTATTTGTGTTGCTGGATGGCAATACAAATAGATATTGAGCTGGGCCCAGTGTCCATCTAAAATATTGAGAATAAGAATAATTTACATGTGAATAGAGTTTCATATACATCATCTCATTTGATCTTTGTGACCCTGGAGATTGTCAGCACAACTATTATTAGCTCCATGTTACTGCTGAAGCTGAGGTTTTAAGGGAGTGAAATGACCTAGGCCTTTTGTCTAGGGGAAACTTGAGGCCAGCTCTCTTTTTGGTATACCCTGCTGACATTTGAGATGGAAAAATAAGAACACTGAGGGCATGAGAATAATGCCCAACCCTATTCCACATAGAAATAATACATAAAAATCACAGAGAAGCTCAAACCAAAAAATGTCAGAGCTGGGAAGGACCTATGAGATAATTCAGTTTGATTTCTTCATTTTACAGATGGGAAAACTGAGGCTCAGAGGAAGGAAGTAAATTTAGTTCAGCTTAATTCATTACTAGAAGGCAGGGATCACAAATAGCTTTAGGCACAGTCAGCATAGAGAATTATATCTGGCTCTGTGTGGAGAATTGTACCAGGCATTTAGCCAATCCTGTCTGATGATGGTTGTGGAAGAAATGAAGACCAAAGGAAAAGGAGAAATAAGGAGCAGCTGAGAAAGAAATATGCTTCACAGCACTTTCCAATGTGGAAGCTGTGCTACTCACACTTTCTCATAAGCCCTGCTGGGATGTTCCGGCCATTCAATCATGCACACCACTCGGTTGGGCATGTCTTCTGTAGTGGAGTAGTACCCCTGGGGGAAGGCAAGCAGGAGAGCCAAGGACCAGATGACACAGATGACCACTTTGGTGGCAGTAGCTGACAGCCGAGGCTGGAGGGGGTGGATAATTGCCATGTACCTGTAAGACAGAAGGAGGAAGATAGGACTTAGTTAACAAAAAATAAATAAATAAATAATTACTCACTACATCTTCTGAGCAATAAGGATACAAAATCCAAATCTTTTTTATTTGGGGGAGGGGGTTGGTTTTAATGAATGTCAGCCTCCACAGCCACCTCCCTTCCTCTTCCTGATCCTAGATCTGACATCATTGTATCTAAATAGCAACAGAAGCACCTCCTTTATAAAACAAACTGTAAGATAAAACTGCAAGGCCTTGTAGGTCTAATGACATATTCACTGGCCATATTATTCTGACTCTACAGAAATAGCAGAATGACAAACAGTATTCAAACAAAGAAGTTAAAACCTGTGCAACTTAAATGGACAGATGTTTTACCCATAGGCATGAAAGTATTCCACATAAAATTTTAAGGAACCCCCAGTTCTCTGACCAAATTGGTTGATGACAGTGCCTTGAATTATTGTAAGACAACAATGAAATGTGCCAAAACTGTCCAAATATAGGTACTGTGACTCATTATCTTGAGTTAAAATCTGGCCTCAGGTACTTACTGGCTGTGTTAGCCTGGGCAAGTCACTTAACCCTGTTTGCCTTAGTTTCCTTATCTGTAAAATAAGTTGGAGAAGGAAATGGCAAACCATACCAGTATCTTTGCCAAGAAAACCCCAAATGGGATCATGAAGTATCAGACATGACTGAAACAACTGAACAACATAGTTACATGAGGTATTGTTAAGCTGCAAAAATTAAGCGGAAACCTATACCCTCCAGATAGAACGATAAAAGGCTTGTTCTACTTGCTTGGGTAATTTTTGATAATCTATTATTTTCTAATGTTTTATCTTTTGCTAAACTGAGGAGGAACTTCATATGTATGCCTCAATGGTTCAGATGTGAATTTCAAGAACAGTTTGATAGATACATCAATTTCTCAGACTTTTTGTTCTGTCCTCCCTATACCATACCTTCTATCCTTTGATTCTATTTCTCCAAAGTTATACAAAAGCTTTGCTTTGTTCTACTTATTGAGAGATTCTTGTTATCTAGACCAGAGTTGGAATATGCAATAGGTTTCTCCAAAGTAATTACATGTAATCAATAAAGGAAATATATTTTGGCCATGCAGTTAGCAAAGGATTCTGAATTATTTGTTCAGTAATTGTTATTACTATGTACAAAACTCTGAGCTTAGCTAAAGAGAAAAAAAAATGACACCGTCCTTGCCCTCAAGGAACTTACAATCTACAAGGCAGGATTGGCCTCAGATATGGCTAAGTGCAATGCAAGAAATTGTGACAGAGCTGAAAAAGAGATAAAGATAAAGTTCTCTTGGAAAATTTGAGGAGGGAAAAACTTTAAGCTGGGTGGTAGTAGTAGCTATGGTTAGGGAAGGCTAGCATAGTGCCCTATTGTACTCAGTCTCTGTTGCATAAGCAATTTTGCACATGTTAGGACGGAGGTGATCAACCCACAGTTCTAAACCAGACCAGTGGTAGTCTACTAACAGACTATCAGTCAACTAACGAGCCACACTCCAAAATATTAATTGATTTTATCCTTAATGAATTCCCTTCCCAGAGTTTTCCAACTCTGACAATGCCTCAGGGTAGACCTTACGAAAATTGTAATTTCACTTATTGTTATTCAGTGGAGGAAATTTAACTGAGTTACTTCTCAGTGGAGGGAACTGTGCTAGAAACTGTGAGGGATATAAAGTTTCTCTTTTCTATTAAGATGGGATATTGATACTAATAATACACTGCCTCCCTCTTGGGGTTTTTGTAAGGATCAAATGACATAGTGTGTGTAAAACTCATATAAATATGGGCTATTGTGATTATCTGAAACATAAATCCTGCTCTCTGGGTGCCCACAGCCTAGTGGGGGAGGTAAGATGCAGGCATACATAATTCTCAGACAAGGCAGTATATCCTCCCATCAGTGAATGAACAATTCAGACAAGAAATGCTTTAGGGATTCACAGGAGGGAGATATCACAGATTACATGCAGATTACCAAAGTGACACCCAGGTAGGATGGAGTGGTACTAGGGATTTCAATTGTCCCTGTGTCTGCAGGTAATTTCATCCTGCTAAAAGGCAGGAGAGCTGATAAATTCCTGCCTTGTCCTTTTGCCTTTTAGAAGGCTGAGGAGGCAAAGAGAAGACCCGCTACCCTGACTCTAATATTGGTGGGCACTGATTGCCCAATTGGAATCAACTGGATCTTGCAGAGAACATGCCCATATCATCTCAGAGGTTGGAATAAGAAAGAAAGGGAATAGTGTATTTGATTCCCTCCACATTTCATTCCTTCCACATTCCAGAGCCCACATATAGTATTCCTTCCTTCCCCTGTTTCCCCCTAACTTTCACTATTGGTGCCACTTCTCTCCCACCTATTGATCTCATTCTCTCACCCCTCTGACTTTAGATTTTGAGTCTAATCTTGGCCTCAAGCAGAGGAAATATGAGGAGCCTTTAGTCAGGAGCTCACAGACTCATCACTGAGTTGGTCTTGCTGCTTGCCTCTCTGTGGCATTCTTACCACAGTCTATTGTCATTGTTCAGTTGTTTCAGTAGTGTCCAACTCTTTTTCACCCCATTTGGGGATTTTCTTGGCAAAGATGCTGGAGTGGTTGGCCATTTCCTTCTCCAGCTCATTTTACAGTTGAGGAAACTGAGGCAAACAGGGTTAAGTGACTTGCCTAGGGTCACACAGCTATTAAGTGTCTGAGGCCAGATTCGAACTCAGAAAGATGAGTCTTTCTGACTTCAGTCCTGGACCTCTATCCACTGTGTCACCTAGCTGCCCAACTGCAGCCTACTGAAATACTAAACAAAACTCATATTTTCAGCCTGAAAATTCAGACAACAGAGCCAAACTAAGAGGTTTAGACTTTATTTGGATGGTAACTGAGAGCCAGCAAAATTTTGTGGACAGGAAGGAGAGTTCCATATCTAAGCAGTGCCTTAGGAAGATTAACCTGGTGGTACCAAATTGTATTAATCTGGAAGTTATTGAGGAACCCTTTCCCCCAATCACCTTCACATGTTCTCTATTGAAGCTCATAAGTTTCTGAAATTCCAGCATTAGAGATTCATTCCTCTGCATCTTTAATGGGAAGATTTTTTGTTTGTTTGTTTGTTTTTCAAAGTCCTTAATTAAAATACAAATATTCCTGCAAAAGCTCCTAGCTCATAACTTTTATCTCTAAATCTGGAGGCCCTCCAGCCTAGTCTCATCACATGCAGAGGTGTGATTGTTTTCCAACTTGGCTCAACATCCACCTTTTGGCCTTTTGGAAAGAGATAAAGACTAAATCTCTCAAGAAGGGGCAAAGATAATGGAAACTGAAAGGAACCAGAGCAGACTTGCAGGAGAGATAGAAGGAAGGGAAGAGAAAGTAAAAACAAGCATTTTCTACTTCACCATTTTGTTGAATGTTGGTACTGGCCAGAACCAACTTCTTTCAATGTATAAGCTAAGGGTGATTTTTTTTTTTCCTTTTCAAAATTTATTAGATGTAGTACAGGATAATCAAAACAAAATATTCCTAAGGGTAAAGTGTGGGACCTGTAAAGCTAAATAACCAATCATAGAGATAAACTATTTAGTTATCAGAATGGACTTTGGTCTCTCACGAGAGTGGTGCTAATGCATTTTCTGGCTTATGAAAGTTTGTGGAGAGCACTCAGGGGATGATGTGGGAGATGTTTTGCCCCTTAATATTATTTCGAGTACAGGAGCCTGATTTGTTTCAAACTTGGGGTCAGTTCTCCTTAAGCAAACTCCTCCTTACCAACCTGTGCATTCCACCCATCCCTTAACCCCATGCCCAGTTTGACATTATGCCCTGTTTGATCTCAAGTGGCCAAGAGTTTAAAAAACAATTGTAGTCCAATATGGAGCCAGAATTCTGAGTGGCCATTGGGTGAAGGGGGCAGGGAGCCATCTTTCATCTCTATGGCAAAAATCTGTAATTTGGGAGATCATTTCATTTTGTTTCCTGCTATTCCTTGTGTGTAGGAGCCATTTAAGTGACAGATGCACTTCTTTTTTTTTTAAATACATATTACCCATACATAGCCAGGGAGAATGGCAGTAGTTTCTTTTTTTTTTTTTAATTTAAAAAATGTTATATTTCCTTCTTCTATTCACCCTATCCCACACCCCCTACCCTCTGCCTGGCCACAGTTCTCTTGTAGAATCTCATTGTTGTGTAGAAGTAATTTTTGATTCCAAAAGGCTTTAACAATAAAGAACAAAGATTGGAAGGTGCTACCAAACAGGAGAGACTCCAAATAAAAGCCCCATGATGACCTGTGCATCTGTGGTCCCAGGACTAGTTTACCTCATGGTTACAGAGTCTTATCATAAAGAAAAGGTGGTCAGATATTTAATTTTTTTTTTTTTTTAGTAACTCAAGAAGACCATCTACAAAGGCCTAGAAGGATTGTAATCTGTATTAACAGGGGGTATGCAAACACAGAGGCAATCAGGTGTATTACAGTTCTTATTATTTTCCAGGTATTAAAAAAAAAAACTTCAGTTTTTTTTTTAGACTTAGGTGAATCTTTTTATTTTTCTTTTTTAAAAATTTCAAATGGCCATACCCCCTCTTTGGGGGCTGCCAAAAACAATGCATTTTTCAAGTCCATCTGGTAACTTGACAGAATTCTGCTTGCACTTTTGATAAGTGGATGTGTATTTTACTTTGTCTTCCTATCTTAAAGTATGAACTCATGAAAATGTATATATTTAAATGGGAGAAGAGAGTGGTATTTTGTTATTATAACCACCCAGAATTTTTCTAGCTGTTTTGGTCATAAGCCACCTGAAGAAATGCTGCAAACCCCAGGATAGATAAATCAATGATGTTCTCCATAAATATTCATCAAGCATGCAAGTGCATGTCAGTCTATCTCAGGGCTATCTGCAGGGAAATGACAGCTTTTTTTTTTCCTAATGTATTCCTTCTCTGGCTGCTAGAT